ATTTGAAATAACATATGTGAGAACAATAGTATATTGCGTGCCAAGGGGAGAAACGCACTCTTTTCCGACGAGGGTGACGTTTGTCGCACGAGCGAAACGAGGGCGGCAAGTCACTCGAGGCGAAAAAGATGATTCTCCCCGAGATACGCACTATACTTTTCACAACAACCCGATTAAAAAAAATAAATAAAAAAAAAAGAAAAAACCATGTTATTTTAAACAATTTTATTAAGTAATTAAATTTATCTTTGTATACAATTGTACTAAAGAATCAAAGTTATTTATAATAATATTGAATATTAACACTGCAATTATTAAATTGGAAAACAGGGTTGCTTTTGCTTTCAGTGATGTTCAAATTTTGTGAGTTATTCTCAACTGTCAAACTCGAAGAATTCTGTGACGAAATGTGAACGTTAACTTCATTGGTCTCATTTTGTCCAGAAGATGTTGAAGCATGTTGATCAATTTGATCGTTCATCTTCTGTGATTTTGAGGTCGAAGGTCCATCTTTGGCATTTGACTTTGAAGGTAGTTTTATTAAATTCGTAATAAGATTACCGATTTTCCGCTTATTATTTACGGAGTTTTCAACGTAACCTGTTGAAAATAATCAAGTTAATTATTGTTTAGATAGAAACGTATTTAATAAGAAATTTTAATACAATCTTCTGCGATTGTCGGAGATTTCCATCCTCCATGGCGCATGATCGTATTCATATCTGCACCTGAATCCGCAAGTAGACTCGCCGAGCTGCGACGGAAACTGTGGCCAGTGTATAAATGAGCATCAGGTAAATGAAGATATTCTGCAATCTCCTTTGGCATTTTTGCAAATTTATTTTTGCCTACAACTTGGCTTGTGCATTTTCAATTTGAAAATTCAAAAACAAGCGGTTTGTTTCGACTTTATTTGGACGCAGTGCAATATATTTCTGCACAATTTCCGCAAATTGACCATCAATCGTATAAGAACGGGAAATCTTGGTTTTCGTATCAGGAATATGAAACAATAATAAATCGTCTCTGTTTTCAATGTCAGAAACCTTTATAGAGGTTAATTCGCCACCTCTGCACGCGCCTGCTATACCAAAAATCAAAGCAACCTGTAGGAATACAAGTAAATTTATTTTTGGTTTTCACATTCAAACGTTTGTTTACTGTCACAAATGAATTTTTGTTTACTTACCTTCATTATGAGAAATTGATCATCCGGTGCTTCGTTCAAAAACTTTGCAATGTCATCTGCCGTCAAAATTTTGGATTTTTTGCTTTTGAAACCGCTTGATTTTCTTTTTAAAAAAGCAATTAATTTAGTGTAGGAACCAATATCGATATTGTTGTAAGTCGTTATTGTGCTTTTGAGCATTGAATAATGACTCTAAAGTGTTGATGGCTTCAATTTCACTGTCAATTCACTAAAATATGCTAGTAGGATATTTTCTGAAATTACTTGTGCCTTTTTTTTAATTTCCAGTATTCGAAAACTTTGTACGCTGTAAGGTACCGCTCTTTTGATTTTTGCGGCAATAACTGAGAAATAGCATTATTTGCTGCTTCTGATAATTCTGGCGGTGTACACTGGGACATTGACTATTGTTTAACACACAAAAATTACAAAATCAAAAGAATAAATACGATTCGTTATAAGTAAATACAAAATACACCGGCCCAAACGCAGTATTTGCGCATAATTAGCGCAGGATTTCAAGTAACCCTAAAATTGTTCAAAAAACATTTTATAATTGAGAGGTGGACTTCTTAAAGAGTTCACTTTTGCATTGTTTATGTTTAATTAATTGAGAATTATTTAATTATTAAGGAAAAAAGTCAAATTTGTCAAATCTGTCACTTTAGATATGCAAGATTCCTATAGCAAATTACGTTTCAATTCCGAACAGGGGAACGCACGCCAAGATTTGAAAAGAGTTACAAATTTAAAACATTCATCAAATAGAAAATATGCTAATAGTCACTAATTTTAAGTAATATTACAGCTGCAACTTTGTGCTCCCTGCATGCTGCTGCCATCTAACGGCGTCTGCAACTAATATAGGGCGTTAGTTAAAAGTAAAGAAATAGTGATTATTATAGTATTAATTTAAATAAATTGGTATTTAAATAAATGATTAATTTTTTTATAATATGTTTTAAAAAAACAATTTCATTAAAGAATTGTGAATATGAAATAAAAATTCTGCAAATTTTAAAAAAAAAAGAATTTTATTAAAAAAATTGTAATTGTTAAATAATTTTTTAATTTAAATTTTTCTTATTTTTATGTCTAAAAAATTATATTTTTGTTGAAAATTATGATGGCAAAATACAAATTGAACTAAATTTTTTGATTTTCTATTTAAGAATTTTTTAAAAAGTTATAAGTAAAAATTTATGAAAAATATATCAGCCTAATTTTTATTATTTTAACAAAATTCTAAAATTTTTTTATAAATAAAGAAAAAAATTGCATATTTCCTATTTGATGAATGTTTAAAATTTGTAACTCTTTTCAAATCTTGGCGCGCGTTCCGCCTTTCGGAATTGAAACGTTTTTTGCTATAGGTATCGTGCATATCTAAAGTGACAGATTTGACTAATTTCTCTTTTTTCCTTAATAATTAAATAATTCTAAATTAATTTAACATAAACAATACAGAAGTGAACTCTTAAGAAGTCCATCTCTCAATTACAAAATGTTTTTTGAACAATTTTAGCTTATTTATCAATTTTTTTTACGTTATTCCTAATGTTGACCCAATATCCACTCAGCTGGGTGGACATTGGGTAAATCTAATCCGCCAGGGTCCTGGCATAACAAATCGTTCATAATATAAATAAATAACTTTATTTTATTTAACATAACTTTAACCGGTCAATATATTCCTAAACGTCTTTTGAATGTTTTTCCAAAGACATTTCTTTTTTTGTTTTTATCAATTTATCACTTAAAACTATTCAGTATGATTATATACACAAATCATAATAATTTAAAATTTGAAAACTAACTGGTTCTGTTTTAAAATCATTTATATATAAAATTACATAACAATAAAATTTCAACGCATTCCAGTTTGGAAAATTGAAATAAAATTTTTTTAGCTCATAGTGTCTGTTTTGAAAAAAAAGAAGAATTTTTAAAGTCTTCTTTTAAATGTAAGATACGGATATTCCAAGGTATTACTGTCAGGCTTAAATCTTTGTAAACTATGTGGTATATATTATATAAATTACATATTATATAAAAAAGAAACCAATTAATAAATTACCAACTTTAAATGAAACTTGAATCTTAAAATCCTTTATAGTGTACAATATTAGCTTTTTCTTTTATTATTATCAAGCGACAAAAAATACTAAAAATCGGACTTCAAATTCGCAATCAGTGACCTCAAATACTTTGAATTTCGAAAATCTAACTTCAAATTTGTAATCAGTGACCTCAAAAACCCCTAAGTAACAAGATTCAAGAGAATTTAAGCGGTTTTTAAAAAATTCTTCCGACATATTGGATCCGCCATTTTAAATTTCGAGAATCTGACTTCAAATTCTTAAACAGTGACCTTAAATACTCTCGAGTAGCAAGACTCCAGAGAATTTAAAGAGATTTTAAGAAATTCGTCCGCCATATTGGATCTACCATTTTGAATTTCGAAAATCTAATTGCAAATTCGTAATCAGGGACCCCAAAAACCCCCGAGTAACAAGACTCAAGAGAATTTGAACAGTTTTTAACAATTTTGTCCTACATTTTGGATCCGCCATTTTGAATTTTTAAAACCTAACCTCAAATTTGTAATCAGCAACCCAAAAACTGCTAAGTGACAAGTTTCAAGCAAATCCGATTTTTTTTATCAAGCATACATTCCCAAAGATTTGAAATAGAAATTCAATGATACGTTAGGAGTTATGCGTCAAATACAGGCTTCCCACAATTATTGCATGACATTTCAGTTTTGGGTCTTAAAGTTGAAGGTTTAAGCTTTCTTTCGAGCCCTATTAAAACTTTCTATGCCCTCACGTTTTCCTTTAATAGTCTTCAAAAAGTGACTAAAAAGCCATTTTTCGACACTTTAACCTCAATTATTAGGGAACTCAACAAATTAAAAATTTCATTTTTGAGTTGTCTTGTTCATTGACACCCAAATATTCAAAAAACACAGGAATTTTGAAATAAACACAAAATGACCATTTTTTTGTTACCTAGTGTTAATTATGAAGGAAATTGACAAAAATATTATGCTAGAAATATTATAGGAAATAATGTAGGAATTCACATAAGTTTCAATGTAGAAACAAAATCATAAATTCTTACATGAAATCATACACCAAATCGTGTCCGAATGTACTATATATGATTTTACATGGAATTCTATATGGGTTCCTATGTGGATCTAGGATTTTATTACTGTTTTTATAAAGGAACCTATATATATAGGTAAAATTACCAACAAAACACTGTTTTCACAATGTTTTTAACTCAGAGGTTAGAATTAGTAAGAATAATTGTTTTTTGTTTAAATGTACGTTTCTTTAATAAATAATCATTTATTTTTGCTTCTAATTTAATATCCCATCGTTTCTGCATTTCTCATTTGATAACTGTAATTATTTTTTTTCTCGCAGTTTTATTAATTTTTGTTTCGAAACGTGAAACTAATGCTCAGTATAACTAGGAAGCGTATAATAGTTACGTCCAAGAAGATTTTCCATTTTGAGATATATAAATAAAACCTTTTTTGGAGAAAATTCAACAATTAGAACTTAACCTATTTATTCTGCTTCTCTGAAAGCTGTGTATACTTTCAATTAATTCAAAGTTGCCGCAATCCTACAAGCGAGTATAAAAAGAAACTAACAATAAAACATAAAATAAAATTTTTTTGGCAACGTTTTTTTGACATTTAGTCCCACTGTGTACTCTACTCTATATAATTTTTTATGGTGCATCAAGAATCTAATTAAGAAACAGATTTTCTCTAATTTAATAATATCTGTTTTAGTTGATAATGGATTTAATCCAATCTGGAATGAAACATGCGAGTTTGAGATAATAAACCCATGTATTGCTTTATTAAGATTTGTCATTCAAGATGAAGATATGTTTGGAGATAGTAATTTTATTGCTCAAGCTACATATCCTGTAAGTAAAATATTAAATTACAAAACTTATAAAACTGCATTACTAGAAAAATACCTTGAAAATTCTTTTTTGCATGTTATCTGCTCTACCATAATTAACCCTATCAGGACCAGTGTTGCTTTCAGGCAACAGTTTTTTGTTATTTCATGCATAAGTTCCTTGAGTTTTAGAACTGGATTTTGGACTAATGTTTTTCATTTAGTCTAATGAATTTCTAATTCTAAACTCAGGTTTGGGATAAAAAACCTTAATCGTTTTGCTGAAATACTTGTTTAAAAATAAAAAATTCTGATTTTTTAAGAAATAATTTGGTCCTTAGACAGTTAAGAATAAATTTTTATTTTCTTAATTTTAATTTTAATACAAACTAGCGATGTATTCCTCGCTCGCTCGGTTATAGTTGTACTTATTGTTGTTTACTTATTGTAGTTTATGTATATTATATATATATATATATATATATATATATATATATATATATATATATATATATAATGTCTTAATGAAGCTTGTGAAACGCAATTTCTAAGAGCAATATGTGAATTATTCGCCTACATATGTATATGTGGGATTCCATATGAAGTGATCAAGGTAAAAAAAGTTTTTTCTCCTATTATGCCCAAACATAGGGCATTTTGTAGTACTATTAGATGGTAATTTTTGGTAAAAATATTTTTCTATTTTAACCAATATTTTTTAGGGGGGAGAAGGTGAAAGTTTTAGGATACCCTTTACTTTAATAATTTCTATCTCTGACACAATTGAATAAAAAAATTTTGCCAATATCAGTTTTGATAGGTTCTTTTATGCCCTTTTGCTTGGTAATATGCATTTTTGAAAAAAAAAATTTTTGACCAAAAAAAATGAAAGTCAAAAATCATTTGACTTTTTTGGGGTGACAGACCCGATTTTCTATTTTTTTTTTAAAAACGAAAGCTGAGGTTCTTTCCTATAAGGACATATAAACGAAAAAGTGGGACTAGAACGATTAACCTTTGAAAATTAGAGATTTGTAGTTACTTGAACGTTGCGAGCTACCGCGCGTGATGACAAATAATAGCTCGCAGCGTTCAAGTAACTACAAATCTCTAATTTTCAGAGGTTAATCGTTCAAGTCCCACTTTTTCGTTTATATGCCCTTATAGGAAAAAACCTCAGCTTTCGTTTTAAAAAAAAAAATAGAAAATCGGGTCTGTCACCCCAAAAAAGTCAAATTTATTTTTGACTTTCATTTTTTTTGGTCAAAAATTTTTTTTTTCAAAAATGCATATTACCAATCAAAAGGGCATAAAAGAACCTATAAAAACTGATATTGGCAAAAATTTTTTATTCAATTGTGTCAGAGATAGAAATTATTAAAGTAAAGGGTATCCTAAAACTTCCAACCCCTCCCCCCTAAAAAATATTGGTTAAAATAGAAAAATATTTTTACCAAAAATTACCATCTAATAGTACTACAAAATGCCCTATGTTTGGGTATGATTGGAGAAATAACTTTTTTCACCTTGATCACTTCATATGGAATCCCCCATATATCATAATCCAATTAATGCTTGTGAATTATATGAAAAATATAAAATGCACTTCTATCATCCAAAAATAAATCCTGAGCAAGAAGAAATTTGGGCTTTAAGAATAATAAGTAACATTCTAATAATGAATAGTTTATCATTAAAAGATTTTAATTTACCAACAAATTGATGTATTTTACAATAAAATTGTAAATAGAAATATCTTCATTGATGGTCCTGGAGGCAGTGGTAAAAGTTATTTACTGAATGCACTTATTGAATTCTTCAATGAAAATGAAATTTCTATAATGTCAGTGGCATGGACAGGGATAGCAGCAAATTTATTGATAAATGGCAAAACTGTACACACAACGTTTAAATTACCATTGACGATAAATGAACAAACAATATGCAATATAAATCCTGATACAATTGATGGCAAAAAAATTAAAGAATGTCAAGTAATAATTTGGGATGAAATAACCATAACTTCAAAGCATGCTTTTGAAGCAGTAGATAGATTGTTAAGAGATTTATGTAAAAGTACAGAAAGTTTTGGTAATAAAATTATTATTGCATCTGGCGATTTTAGACAAACTTTACCAATTGTTGTACAAAGGACAAGACTTTTGTTTAATTATTTATTTAATTATTTTTTTATTTTTAAAATTTTGTAAAATGTTTCGCCCGAAGCCCAAAAATTTACCTCAGCAGCCGAAACGTATAGTCTTGTAGCTTACCAACAGAATGCTCCGCAGCCGCGTGTCGAAAGTAGGCTACGGTTCAAAAGGTCTCTCAGTGTACTTAAAGAACTTTTAAGAAAGGGAAATTTTGACAGATTATCCAAAATTACATTATTACGTACTAAAGAATTAAAACAATCTTTAAATGATTGTCATTCTGTAAAATGGCCTGAAAAAGTAACTTTAAATTATTACTTAAATTACCAGATGTCATGTTGAGGTTAGGATTGAACTCTTGCTTCACCGATGCATCCGCTGACATCGACTTCATTTGTTGCATTTTTTTCAAGAAGCTGATCAATGATTAGTTAATCCATTGTCAAAGGTTTTTGAGTAACCATTTTTTTAATATCAATTTATTTGTATAAATGTAAACACATTGAGAATAACCTGTCGAATATCGTTGCACATTATTCTGCATAAAACACTTCAAATGTGTTACATATTAAAAGTCCCAAACTTTATGTAAGTTATATATGATAGCGGTATATGTGTAGAGTAACGATGACTCTAATGACGATATCTAAAAATTTTAAAATACATAGGGTTAAAAAGATAAGATTAAAGATTAAAGACATAGATGTTAAAAACCTTTGTTTTCAATGTAAAAATAAATTTTGTATATTATAATATTAATAGATTTTAGTTATCGTCAACCGAAAATTGGATAAAATGAAAGTTATTTTATATTTTCTTTTATGACGATAACTATAGCAAAAATAAATAAATTACATTCTTGTACTTATAATAAATAAATATATTTCTTGTAATTTATCGTCTTTTTTATGTAAGTGGGAAATGTCGACACTGCCCAAAAGTAAGTGGCCACTGTCACATTTCACTGAAGTTTGTTAAAAATACTCGGGCAATGTCGACAATGACCGTAACATATATATGCTTTTATATGCACGGAAAAACATTTTATATTAGAAAACTGTTGGAATTACAACGATAATGTTATTTTCATATATATAGCAAATAAGTTAAAGTAAAATCCGCACATTTTGGGTTTAGTCGTACAAAAAGGGTCTTGCGGTATGCACATTGTACGGTTCATTTAAGATATATTTCAAGTTAAAGACATATTTTAAGTTGTTTAAGTGTATAAGTCATTTTTCAAATCGACGGCTTAGAGTGTAAAGCTGCTAACGCTCATTTAGTAAATTTTACAGGGCGAATAAAAAACTTGCCAGAAAGCAATCTGGTTGATCTAGAACAAAATGTAAATTATAGTTGGTTTATTTAATAACTTATTTTATGACAATATATGAAAAAAGCAAAATAAATCAATAGTTACTTTTATATAAACAATTTTTGGGAGTTAGCAGGTTTTCGGAAAAGATAAAATTTACGATATGGGACTTAGCACATTTTTTTGCAAAAAATTAATACTTATCCTCTGGAGAAAGGATCAAGGAAACTTTGTGATCATAAAATAGGAAAATTAATTTATAATTGGTACAAAAATTTTTATTGATAAACTTATAAAACATTTATAAAAATGATGAAATTCAACAAAAATTAAATATATATTTTTTTTAAGTCTCGAGACATTGAAAATTACGTTTGTTAGTTAAAATTTAAATTACTAAATTTATGTAGTTTTTTCTATTAAATTTAATTTAAATATAAATAATTTAATAATTCTTTTATTAATTAATTCAATTTTAAATAAATAATTTTAATTAACTAACGTTGTCAATTTTGTTTCCCTATTGAGGAAGTTTTAATTAACAAACGATAACTTTATTTTGTAACAAATTTCTTATCTGGTTCATTTTATATTTTAATGAACCTCTATTGTATTAATTAATTAACAAGTAAATAATAATAATAATAAGTAAACAATTACCATTAATTTAAATAAATGAATTAGAACATTATAAAATTACAATTATCAGTCTTAATATTTCAGTCGTGAAGTAAATTGTCATAATATTGATGATAATCTTGAAGTAAAGTATTCTTTATGTATTGTAAATCCTCAAACTTTCTCGCAGTGATTTTTTTCTTATTTTGATGAAGATTTTTTAGGCGTGATAGCGGCAACGGAACCACTGACAAAGATTTTCTTTTGGGTAACATTTTCCACTCATCGGGGAATCTCAGTTTAAAAAATATTTCACCGTTTGGAGTATAACGCAGAGCTCGTATATCAGTTACTTTTGCATCGCCTTTACTATGACCAGGACGAATACTTTTAAAGAACTGAACTTCGTCAAATTTCTTGAAAAAATTGTAGTTTAAGTACGTTACATCGTAAGGTTTTGGTTTTTTCCTAGCTAATCTGCAAATCTCTACATATTCGACAGGAACGTTGACAGTTTTGTGTTTGAGAGCTCGCTCGACAGTAGCATGGACAGAATCAACTTCCATCTGGGTATGCCCAACTTCGAGAAACTTTTGTTCGATGATTATGTTATTATTCATAGCTGTAGACAATAGAGCATTGGACATCACACAATTTCTATTCTGATAAGTGCACCCATCACTATAAAAAATTAATTTTTTATGTTTGTCTGACTCTGATTCTGTTAATTTGTTTTGCTGCTCAATAAATTTTTCAATTAAATCAACCCACATACTTGCAAACTCTTCAGAGCTTAATCCTCCTTCACTTTCGTTCCATAAATAACAAATGCCATCTCTGCTGTTTAAATTATAGAACGTAAGATTGTGAACTTGAAGTTTTGTTCTGTAATATAAGCTACTGACATTTGACTTAGGTGCCATGAGTACAGATTGT